ATTGTTGAAAGCACTGCTTTTGGAAAACGCAGCTGCAAGGTCTAGAAATAAGACTTTTTAAAATTCTCTTACATATTATAAAAATGGTTCCTGGTTCTTAAATAAAAATTACATTTGTTGAGGGAATTAATGTAAATAAATAAACAATCTTAATCATCTGAATCCCACAGACCTCCACGGTAAGTGTACTACGGTAAACATGACTAACTGAGGGACGAGTCGAAATGATTTGAACTGGTTTTGAACTTGTGTCTTTCCTGTGTCATGTGACTCAGGCCGTTCACAGGCGCCACTAACGAGCTGACCATCATCCACGAGATCAGCAGTCTGGCTGAGGCTCTGGAGCGTCCGGCCGTCTGCATCAGCGACTCCTACATCGTGGCTGGATACACCAACCCCGCGGCGGCCCACCGGCAGAACGAGATCTGGTTCCTGGAGCGGCCCTGAGCCTCCCCTACCCACAATCCTCTGCACCTCTCAGAGACCGCAGTGGAGCGAGCACAGGGCATTGCAGCCATCCTGTAGTTCCTGATTCCCCGTCAGCAGAACATGTTTATATGCGTCACACTGATTAAAAGCTACACAAACTGGACGTCAATCACTCTGAAACGCTGTTGCTGTAAGACAATCATCGCGTACCTCCCGTCTTTTGTCTGTCTCTCGCTCTAGTAGTGATAATCAACAAATCGATATATAATAGATGCACATATATCTATATATTATATTCTCATAGTGCTATTTTTGTTAGGTATACTTTGAAACTTCTCTGTTACAAGCACAGATGTCAAACAAACACAATGAAAGAGTTTTCTGAATGAAGAGAATGAGCTGATCTCTGATCAGGGTTTGACGACTGGGAATATAAACATTCGTCTGTCCTCAGTATAAACACTACAGCCACTGTGAATTCCTGAATGCTTCTGTTCTGATCTGAATAAACTATTACTGAATCACACCAGTGTCTTCACACATGAACTGGTCTGTAATGACAGATGATGATGTCAGATCAACTCCAACCAATCAGAGCCAACAAACCGACACGAAGCTGAATTCACAGAGAACGTCAAATTTCAGGGTTTGATCCGAAAACAATGCAGCCAGGAACACAGATCATCATCCACTACACACACAGGGTTGCAAAAGGGCAGAATAATTCCAGAAACTTCCCAAAAAGCTTCCAAGAATTTTCAGAAATTATGGAAAGTTTCCGGAAATTTACCAGAAGTTTTCCACCCCTTTACAACCCTACCTACACAAGACTATAGGCTTTCAATTTGAAATTTAATTTAATTACATTTATTTGAATGATTAATCTTTTATAGTTACATGACATGTGGCCAAGTATGGTGACCCATACTCGGAATTAGTGCTCTGCATTTATCCTTGAAGGAGAAATCAAAAGAATGTCAGACAGCAGTCCAGCAGCAACAACAACCCCCACAAACACAAGCAGATCAGAGAAACGCTCTCATATCTCATACTGACTTATCAACATAACTGCTCTGATGAAACATCCTCCAAAACACTAACACACAACAACAACATTTTTGTTCTGGAAGTGAACTAATACTGTAAGGATTAATATTGCCATATCAATCTGAGCCGGATTCAGACCTAGAGAATATTGAACAAGAGGATCGTGCAGAACCTTTGCACGCACGGATGTTGCAAGACATATTAGAGTGGAAACGTTACTATTGTTTTTTTTGTGTGTGGCTAAATCACGTTTTAGATACGATGCCAACAACCGCTTAAAAATAACTGCATTTATTATGTACAGGTAAGTGCAACGGTAATATGTATTATGTTTATAGACGCTACAGCAGCTCTTCTTCTTCGTTTTCTCTGATGCACTCAACCAAGCGTTCTAACTAGGGATGCACCGATACCGATACTGGTCTCCTGTACTCGTACTCGTTAAAACGCCCCGATACCAAACGCCGATACCACTCAGCATGTGATAAGTGCCGTATTCAGACAAAAACACAGACAACAAGACAGCAGAATGGAGTTATTAGAGATTAAAGATGTCTACGAAGTATATGTATGCAATGAATATAAAACATTCAGTATTAACGCCTGTATAGCTGATTTGCGCCAGCTGATGAGCAAAGCACTATTTTTTTTATTAGTGGGTGCAGGACACTATAGTTAATTTATGTAAAGTGAGGAGAGCAAAATAAACTAAACTGATATTTTATACCCAGAAATTCTTCATACAGTGGACTACAAGAAAAACTAATGCAAATTTGGGACCAAAAATTATTCAGACCGAGACCGGGAAAAAATTGAAGTTCAGGTTTGCATGAAGCTGGGTGACAGCATGCCCATGGGCCTGTTGCACGAGCTAGAGGCTACAAGAGATCCTGGAGAATCTAATGTACATGAAAATAACAGGGGCCGGTTGCACCAGCCAGACGTAAAAACGCTGGGCTTTGCAACGTCCTGCTTTACGATAAATATTTACACCTGTTGCACCAACTGAAACTACTATCAGGCGCGACTACGCCCGGCGTAGACAATGCGCGTCCACGCGGACACATTCTCCCGCGGTGATGGCTGAGACGACTTCACGCTGCAATGGCTACAACTACTAATATAAAACTGAATTCCTTAAGACATAACAAGTGAAGCCACCGCGCCATGATTTCATTGAGTAAACATTTTCTAACAAGTCTGCGTTTTTATATCCGAAGTCTCCCTGCACACTCCCAAGACAGATTTCATCAAGGTTAAGTAAAATATAATAAATGTAATACAATGCTTCTCTCTA